CCGGCACTGAATGGTATCGGGCGTGGAGGGTGACGGGGGTGATGTACCATCTTGTGAGGATTTTGTATGAGTTTTCCTGAAGTCTGGCTGATCCCGGGGTCTTTTGGACGTGCATGATGATTTTGTCCCAGTCCGCATCTGTGAGATCTTCTTCAAGGTCCTCTTCCCATCGTCTGACGCATGGGGGGCCCAAAAGATACTGATTCGTTGCTAGTGAATTGTAAATCAGGGATATTGCTTTCGGTGGGGTTTCGTCTTGTCTACATAGGGTTTCAAACTCCGTGCATTCTCTCATCAGGTAGGGGCGTTGGGGGATGGAGTGCGCGTAGTGGGACATTTGTTTCCTCGCCAACGTATATACGAAAGTGTGTCTCTGGTCCGGGAAGATGGCCACGATCGGCCGGATTATGAATGGGGGTGAGATGATGTCTTCCATTCTAAGCGTTGTGTTGCCGTTTGCTGGGCGTGAGGTTGGGCCCATGTCGCCCGCCGTGAAGTCCGGGTTGCCTCTTAAGGGGAGTAGTGGGCTGGGGTCGGTCATAAGGTAGTGTTTGGGGCCATTTTGGTGCCAGATATGTAGGGTGGCCTTCACGAATGGGTTGGCATGTTGTAGTTGCTTGCTGGCTTCTTTTGTGATCCAAGGGAGGGTTGTGAGGTCGCATTTGGTGCTGTCCGCCTCCAGTTGCACCCAGGGTTTGTCCCTGGTCTTTACTGACCAGTTGATTAGGTGGTATTTCCTAAAGTCCGGGAGCTTAGGGAGAGTCAGCTGGGAGTGGGCGATTCGGGGAGACTTCCCTTTCCATATGAAATTACGGATTGTTGTTTGGATGGTGGTGAAGTATGACTTTGGTGCCTCTATTGGCACCGTTTGGAAGATGAAGAGGAACTTGGGGAGCAGGGTCATTTTCACTGCGTTTATGCGTCCCAGCCAAGAGATGTATGTTGTGCTCCATGTTTGGAGTTCAGTCTGCGCTGTCCGTAGAAGAGGTTAGTAGTTGTGGGTGTAGAGGTCCACCGTGTCTTGCGTGAGAATGGGAAGCGTTGCCTAAGTTCGAGTTTTTGTGAGTGCCGGATTGTTAGGCCTAGGATTTCTGATTTGGCGTAGTTGATGCGCAGATTGGATATCTGGCCGTAGGTATCAAATTCGGTTCTGATCACCCGTAGCGATCTGATGGGGTCCTGTACTAGGAAAAGGAGGTCAGAACTTTGTGGTGTGTTTGGCCTATGATCAGTCCTCGGATCGCCTCGTTGCTTCGGATTTTATTGAGGAAGGGCTCCAGTGTGAGTGCAAACAATATGGGCGATAGGGGGCAGCCTTGGCGCGTCCCATTTCTGATTTGAAACGAGCCTGTACGTGCCCCGTTGATTCGCAGCCTCGCTGCCGGGTGGCTGTATAGCGCCTCCACCTATTGGATGTATCTGGGCCCTACGCCTCGGGTCCGGAGGGTCGCGAACATGAATTTCCAGTCCACCCGGTCGAAGGACTTTTCAGCATCTGTCGATGGAAGCAGGGACGGTTGTGTGGACCGTGTAGCCACGGAGACCAGGTTTACTGCCCGTATGGTGTTGTCCCTGACTTCCCTGCCAGGGATGAACCCTGTCTGATCAGGGTGTATCAGATCCGGCAGGAGTGGTGCTAGGTAGTTGGCCAGCACGCTGGCCAGTAGCTTGATATCGACATCGAGGACCGAGATCGGGCGATAGCTCTGGCATGATGTTGGGTCCTTGCCTTCTTTTGGGAGGAGCGTGATGTTTCCCGCCGTGAAGTGGGCTGAGGGTGTAGCCCCTTCAAGGATTGAGTTCAGGGCCTTGTGTAGTTTTTGAAGGAGTTAGGACTGGAAGGTTTTGTAGTATTGTAACGGCAGGCCGTCCGCTCCTGGCAACTTGCCCGTCTGCGCTTTTTTGATGGCAATCGAGAGTTCCTCTGGGGTGATGGGCACATCCAAAAGCTCGCGGTCCGGGTTTGTTAGTTGACGTAGCTCTGCTGATGCCAGGTATGTGTGGATGGCATCGTGTCTGCGGGTTGAGGAATGTGGCGGAGATCTGGTCTGGGAGATGGTGTACCCGCTGGGACGGGTCTTTAATTTTGTTGATGTAGAGGTGTGTCCTGTGGCGCTTCAGTAGATTTGCGAGTAGCCTGCTGTACTTGTTCCCGTGTTCGTACACCAGGTGTCTGAAGTGCTGGAAGGATCGTTGGATGGAGCAGTTCATGTGCTCAGCAAGTTGGGAGCGTTTGTGAAGGAGATCTCTGTAGGTCGAGGCGTCCAGTGTCCGTTTGTGTTGGTTCTCCAGACGGGCTATGTATGTGCTGAGATCCATAATTGCTTTCGCATGTGCCTTCTTCAGTGCCGAGCAGTTTGCAATGAAGTGACCTCATATGACCGCCTTGTGTGCCTCCCAGCATGTCAGAGGTGTTGCGTCCTCAGTTTCATTGGTGGTGAAGTAGTCCTGTATGACCTGCATGGTCCTTGACACAAGTGTGGGATCTGTTAGGATGGACTCGTTGAGTCGCCATGAAACATGGCAGGGCCTGTATAGCGGGGATTTTAGTCGGATGCGAACTGGGTTGTGGTCCGACATAGAAACATAGAAACATAGAATGTGACGGCAGATAAGAACCATTCGGCCCATCTAGTCTGCCCAATTTTCTAAATACTTTCATTAGTCCCTAGCCTTATCTTATAGTTAGATAGCCTTATGCCTATCCCATGCATGCTTAAACTCCTTCACTGTGTTAACCTCTACCACTTCAGCTGGAAGGCTATTCCATGCATCCACTACCCTCTCAGTAAAGTAATACTTCCTGATATTATTTTTAAACCTTGTCCCTCTAATTTAAGACTATGTCCTCTTGTTGTGGTAGTTTTTCTTCTTTTAAATATAGTCTCCTCCTTTACTGTGTTGATTCCTTTTATATATTTAAATGTTTCTATCATATCCCCCCTGTCTCGTCTTTCCTCCAAGCTATACATGTTAAGATCCTTTTAACCTTTCCTGGTAAGTTTTATCCCGCAATCCATGAACCAGTTTAGTAGCCCTTCTCTGAACCCTCTCTAAGGTATCAATATCCTTCTGAAGATACGTCTCCAGTACTGTGTACAATACTCCAAGTGAGGTCTCACCAGTGTTCTGTACAATGGCATGAGCACTTCCCTCTTTCTACTGCTAATACCTCTCCCTATACAACCAAGCATTCTGATAGCATTTCCTGCTGCTCTATTACATTGTCTGCCTACCTTTAAGTCATCAGAAATAATCACCAGGTCATTGGTAGAATTTCTGCCTCTACTAGGAGGGATAGGCTGTGGTATGGTAGTAGGAAGTAGTCCAGCCTTGTGTACGTGGCATGTGTTGTGGAGTAGAACGTGTAGTCCCTTATATCAGGATTCATTGCCCTCCAGCAGTCTGTGAGTTGGTGGTGGTGGAGTAGTTGGAGTGTTCTTGCGTGCCTGCCCCCCACGACCAGGGTGCCCCCCGCGAACCTCATCAGGACTGACATGGTCCTGCGGAGGAAGTGGTATTGTTTTGAGTTTGGAGCATATATGTTCGTGAAGGTGTATTTCTGGTCATGGATGGTACCCTTGTGAAGATGTATCTCCCTGATGTGCGGCGGAGCGTGTCTTGTTCTATGTAAGCCTTCTCCTCTCTGGCTATGCCTGCAGGTTTGTCACCAGTACCTCCCTGGCCTTTTCCCTTTCCCCGGTGCTTCTGTGGAGTATGGTGCTCCCGTGTGTGATGGTAGTCCGTATCCCAAGTCCCTCAGTCATTTAAGAGTCCGGTCCTGGGGACCGGGGAAAGTCGAGGTGTAGCCGAGGTTCCCTGTCCCCCACCCCAATGGTGCTGAGCCCCTCCCTTAGTGCTGATGAGTGCTCGTGAGGCCATTGTCTCCATGGCGTGAATTCCTGTTTCTGGGTACGTGAAGGGTTAACCATTGCCTATGCCCTTGACGGTGGTTAGGGTGCCTGTCCTCTTCCCCCATAGCAAGCAGTCCCCCCCTTTATGTAATCTTGTGGACGTGTAGCCAGAGTCCCCTTATCCAATAAAGTAACAGTACTCACTGCTGTGCGGTGTGGAGTGCCGCCTGCACTGTTCCTCTGTTCTGGCTGAGCTCTTAGTGCGGCTGTCGTTCTTCAGGCCTAGTTGGGCCTGGTGGCCCTGGGTATCTGCGCTGAGTGTGGTCACGGCTTGCAGATCTATCAGGTGGTGGTGGCAGAGGGCCTGCTGCTTGTTGTATAAATTGGTGGGTAAGCCAATTCTGCACTCGGGCTGGGGGAAGTCCCAGGGAGTGCTGGAATCCCTGGACATCCGCCGGGGTCTTGATGGTGTGTAGCTCTTGTCCCCTGTGTGCGGAGAGGGAGAATGGGTATCCCCAGCGGTACGGGATACCTGCTGCCTGTAGTGCCGCATTTACCGGTCGGAGGGCCTTCTTGGCTAGCAGTGTGTAGTGGGAAAGGTCTTGGTAGACAGTCACAACTTGGTTGTCCAGCCTGATGTTGCCCATTCGGCGGGCATTGCGTAGGATGTCTTCTTTAAGGTTAAAGTTATCTAGGCAGCAGATGATATTGTGTGGCTGATCCCCTGGCGCTGGGGTTGCTCGTAGTGCGCAGTGGGCCCGTACTAGGCCTAATCTGGGTTGTTGTCCCCCCAGGGCGAGGCTGAAAACTGTGCAGAGGATCTCAGGTATGTTTTCATTGGGGCCCATCTCTTTCACCCCTCGCACCCTGAGGTTCATTCTGTGTCTCCTGTTGTCGAGATCGTCGACCCATGTCGTGATATGGGCCAGGCTTGTTTCACAGCATTTGATCGTGGAGGCCGCAGGCGTCAGCTTCCATGTGGAGGGCCCTTGTTTCTGATTCTGTAGCTGTCAGCCTGGTGTCTATGCTGGTTATATCTGCCTTCACTTGGGTCAGTACGTTGCGAATCACCTGGCTGAGGCGGTCCGAGAGCGCCTCGAGATCCGCCTTCGTTAGGAGGGTAGGCAGTATGGCCCTGAGGTCTCCCTCCAGTGTCCCCTGGGCTTCAGGTGAGTCTGATGGCGCCGGGGAGAATTTTGCATGTGTTGCCGATGGCGAGTTCGCGGTCGGGTCTGGAGCCTCCATGTCGGGCTGGGACCCGAGATCTCGTGGCGTGGTTAGATAGGAGCGGATGGAGGGCTCCGTTCCGGACCCCGATGGTCTGGGGGTACTGGAGGGATCTGCCTGCTCCTTATTGCACCCCATTGTCGATGCTGGATGTGTGTGGTGAGCCTAGTGTAGCTATTTTTCGCTGGGACCATGAGGAGCTACTAGATTAGGCGGCCATCTTCTTCGGCAGCTAGGCACGCCCCCCTAGTATAAACTATGTACACAATAGCAGAGGCTTGTGAAGGCCTTTTCTCCATACATCAGGACTGCAAGAAATGCACCGCAGGCCGCAAATGTTTCTTTTTTGTATATGTCCCAATATTTTGGGGGCTACCCCCAATTAAAAAATATATATATAAATATATAAAAAACAGTGTTGGCTACCTCCTCCACCGCTGCTTCCACCTACACCGCCACGGTCACCGCCTTCTCAACCTATGGGTCACTTAGTATAAACTATGTACACAATAGCAGAGGCTTGTGAAGGCCTTTTCTCCATGCATCAGGAGTTGAGCTCAGTTTGAACAAAGAAAGAGAATACCCTGCACTGCAACCCTCTCTCAAATGGATAATTCTGGTGATCCTCCTGACAGCCATGCTTTAGATTTTGATTTATGTTCTCCCAAAACTAAAATCAAAGATTCCATCTAGTGGTATTTTATGGCTGTATTTTTTTTTTTAATGTATTTTATGTTATTTTAAATGATTTCCCTATCCACATTTGTTTGCAGGGCACTTGTCCTACTCTTACCCCCATTTTACTTCTTTTTGCAGCCCTTTAGCCCTTTCCATGACTTTTTTAGAGGCATTTTTGTGCCCAAAGGTTCGGGTCCTATTGACTTCAATGGGGGTTCGGGTTCGGGGTCAAGTTCAAGCCCGAACCCGGAGTTTTTTCAAAGTTCGGCCGAACCCGCCGGACACGAACATCCAGGTGTCCGCTCAACTCTATCTGAAACACTTTAAATTCTATCACAGCCAGGTAGAGATAGGAGGAGGGGATGAAGTGTTATTTAGCTGGCTGACTAAATAAAATATCTGATAAAAAGCTTTATTGCAAATTCGAGGAAAGTATATGGCTTCTCTGTGCCTGCTTTTTTGTACAGAACATACAATTTGTAGACTACAATCTGTGTTAGGTATATGGCAATTTTTGTTTGTACCAATAATTTAGAAGTTGGAGTGAATCAGATATGGTTGTATGTCAGGGGTTCTCAAAGTTAGTCCTCAGGACCCCCTACCAGTCCAGGGTTTGGGGATTACCTGGGTGTGTCTAAGGTGTTTAGAAAAAGAAAAAAAAACACTTTAGGGTCTAAGGTGTTTTTTTCCCTTTTTCTAAACACCTGAGACACACCCAGGTAATCCCCAAATCCTGGACTGGTAGGGGGTCCTGAGGACTGGGTTGAGAACCCCTGTTGTATGTACTGATCAGTCTAATCTACCCATCTATGTTTGCTGTAATCAGCAATGCACTTAGTTTTTTTGGATTGTTCATCCCTTCTTTTGACAGATGCTGGTGCTGTACTTTGATCGTACATTGCAGACAGCATGTACACATCTTTTTTTGTTAGTGTAAAGCTGTTGTGCCTCTAGTGTTTTGTTTTTTTGCCGTATGCCAGCTGCTGGGCACTTTGCCATAGGCTAGGGTTTCAAAACAAAATACATGTTTTAAACAAAGCAAAGCTAATATAATAATTGTCGACCCATGGATGCTAGTACATTCACATCATTTGTAAAATTTTATTCTACAACATGACCAGTTTGATGGAATATGTTGATTAAAAAAACAATCTTACTTTAAATTTCATTAGAGGTTCATCTGTGCATATGTTCTGGTGAGGGGTGTAATATTCAATAAAAGTTTTTAACACAGGTGTATGATAATGGGCTGCATGTTGTATATCCTGTAATACAGTGTATAATGGATCATTTCTAGCAGGGTATAATCATTAAAATGAAGAAATCACAGCAATGCTGGTTGCAATACCAGGAGTTACCATAAATGAGGGTATTTCAGGAGCACCATCACTAGAAGCCTCGCTTAGGGGGTCTATCACTAACAGCTATATCAAATGTATCAATCTCAAATGTGTCACTGGAGTAAGCCGCTTCTTCAGAATAAAAACGTGCCATGATGCAAAAGGCAAAAATGTTATTATTTTTCTTCTACCTGCCTACTTAACGCCAACCATCACCCACCCCACCAATTCCCTCTTCCACCCAAAGCAAACCCTACACTCCAAAAAGAAAAGGGTGATCACAGTATACAAATCCATTATCAGCACTAATAGGCAAATTTAAACTAAAACCACAAAAAACTAACAAGAACAATTAAAAAAAAAAGCAACTGAAAATTAACAGGTCATGTTGAGCAGTGATCAGTCTGGTCAGACTGATCACAGACATGGTCTGAGGATGAGACGCAACAGATACAGCAGGATAAAAGTTAAAACGGTTAAAATAAACAAAATGTCTTTGTCTTCTGAAACCCCCTCCCCCCCTCATTTGTTCTTAGAAAATCAATAAAAATTGTCAAATAATTATTTTTTTTAAAATAAACAAAAAGAGTCACATTGTTAAAACAGTATGAGTCAGAGTGACTTCAGTCTCTAACCCCACACTACTGGTGCTAACCCCACTAGAGCTGCTTAACCCCCCTCACTACAGGTCCTAAACCCCCACTAGCCACTACTGCCCATAACACCCCACTATGGCCACTGACACCCCACTACAACCACTGACACCAAACTTCTGCCCCAAACCCCCGACTACAGGTCCTAACGTCCCCACTACTGCCTCTGACCCCTCAATAAGGGTCATATCCTCCCACTACTGCATCTGATCCCTCACTACAGGTCCTAATCTCCCACTACTGATCTTCCACTACTGCCCTCCCACTACTGCCCCTAACCCCCACTACTCTTAGGGGCAGTAGTGGGAGGTCAGGGAACACTCCCATTACAGGTCCTAAACCCCCACTACAGGTCCTTACACCCCACACTACAGTTTGTAACCCCCAACTACTGCCCCTAACCCCCCACTACAAATCCTAACCCAGCATACTGCCCTGATCCCCCACTACAAGTCCTAACCCCCTGCTACTGTTCCTGACCTCCACTACAGGTTTCAACCTCCCACTACTGCCCCTGATACTCCACTACTGTCCCTGACCCCCACACACACACACACACTACAGGTCCTAACCCCCACTACAGGTCCTAACCCCACATTATTGCCCCTAACCCCCACTACTGCCCCTGACTCCCCTATTCCCCACTACATCCACTATCCCATTACTACAGCCCCTATCCCTGACTGCTGCCTTCACATTTTCACTAGAGCACCTAAACCCTTCTAGTTATATTGAGCTGTTGGGGAGCTAACTTGAATTCCCATCCCATCCTTTCCCATTTTCTACTAAATGGAAATTCCACTACTTCCCAGATGTATTTTCCACATGTTACACATTGCCGCACACAACACTCACAGTAGCCCAAAATTATCTCTCACAGCTACTGATACAGCAACACATACCACTCAGAGCTGCCCACACATAGCCGCACACATCACTCACAGCTAAACACACATTACACACAACTAGAGCCGTCTTCAATATGGACTGGATCCTTGGCAAGCATCACATCCTCCACCTCAAACCAGTTGGGCACACCTCAAGATTGGCAAAAAGATAGACCACAATCTGTTGTCCAACTCCCACCATGCTATGCCAGCTGGGGATCTACTATTTAGCCATCCTTGCAGAGTTGTATTTGTGAGCAGTGTTTGTGCGTTTGAATGTAAGCATGTTTTTGTATAGAGTACGTGTGTGTATGAAGGGGTGTATTTATATGTACTGTTACCATTGTAATGCAGTGGTGTACTTGTGTGCAGTGTTTGCATTTGAATGCAGGGATATGTGTTTAAATGTAGTGTTGGCTTTTAAAGGCAGGTGTGCTTTTGTGTGTAGAGTTGGTGTTTGTATATCATTTTATTTTTTTATTACTGGTATTTATAAAGTGTCAAACATATTCCACAGCGCTGTACAATTGGGAAAAAGACAATACAATAAGAACAGACTGATACAACAGGTAGAGGGTCCTGCCCGTGAGCTTACAATCTAAAGGTAAACTGTGGAGGTGAGACAAAAGGTAGCAGAGGAATTTGTATGAGATGGCATAGAGAGTTAATGGTGTAACTGCAGCAGCTTTATACAGGGGTGTGTTTGTTTTTAAAGGGACACTATAGTCACCTGAACAACTTTAGCTTAATGAAGCAGTTTTGCCGTATAGAACATGCCCCTGCAGCCTCACTGCTCAATCCACTGCCATTTAGGAGTTAAATCCCTTTGTTTATGAACCCTAGTCACACCTCCCTGCATGTGACTTGCACAGCCTTCCATAAACACTTCCTGTAAAGAGAGCCCTATTGAGGCTTTCTTTATTGCAAGTTTTGTTTAATTAAGATTTTCTTATTCCCTGCTATGTTAATAGCTTGCTAAACCCTGCAAGAGCCTCCTGTATGTGATTAAAGTTCAATTTAGAAATTGAGATACAATTATTTAAGGTAAATTACATCTGTTTGAAAGTGAAACCAGTTTATTTTTCATGCAGGC